CCCCAAAACCCCAAAACCCCAAAACCCCAAAACCCCTCCAAAAACTTAAATGATAGAATAATTAATTTCGCGGAAAATGGAATCTGAAATGTACGAAAACCAATCCCCAAATACCAACATAAAGAGCTTAAATCCTTTGGTGACAAAAGCTGAGAACAACTCAGCTACGAAAGATGCTGAAATGGGAATTGAAAAGAGAGGTATTCCCTTACTCTCATATATAGATATTAAACAAGAGATATGTGAGCAAATAGAGTTCTATTTCTCCTACCCCAACCTTTACCACGACACTTTCTTGAGGAAACTCATCTTAAAGAATCCTGAACAGAAGATTGAAATCGAGACCTTACTGAGTTTCAACAAAATAAAGTATTCCTGTTTCTAATTTATAGGGAACTCTTTATCGAATCTCAGCTTGAATCCCAGAATCAGTTGGAGGACTCACCAGAGAGTCAGACAGAATTTCTTTTGACCTGAATCCAGAACTCAAAGCTAGTAAAGCATACAAAAGACAAAAAGGGAGTCAAGCCAAAAATGAAGTACTATCCTAAAACTGCTAATGAGAGATTACAGTTCATAATCTGTAAGTTGTCATTACTCTTACCTTAAATAGGAATCGAGGGTGACCTCCCTGATAGAGCAGACCTTAGAGGAGAGTTCAAGAAGTATGGGAAATACGATGGATTTTACATTAAATCCCTTGATCCTAAGGCTCATCTAATTTATGTTGGGTTCATTAAGCCAAGATACAGGAAAAGGTTCATGAAGGAATTTGAGAACATCAGCATCTTTGATCATAGCAAAACTCGTATAGTTCCTATAAGAGAAGCAGCTGTCTTGAAGAAGGAGTTGAAATCTAACATCCAGAAGCTGAGAGACCTGAATGAGGATACTAAGGTCTGAGATAACGAGGAGATCATTACACCTGAAGTTTTTCTCTGAATCAAAAATATACCAGGTAATTGTGTAAAATAACTGTATAGAGGGGTATGAAAAGACAAACTTGTATAATCTCTTTAAAGAAATCAAGCCAAAATACATAGATTACCAGAATGATGGGAAGGCTGTCGTTAGATTTATAAATCCTGATCAAAAGCAGAAATTTTTGCAGCAAAATCCTGAGTCGTGCTTTTATCTCCCGTTAGAGTATTCAAAGGCAGCTCCAGACTCGCAGCTCGAAATGAATAACCATATTGTGCTTCCTTTTGAAGAGGTCGAGTCAGAAGAAGCTGAAAGAATCATTGATGCCATCAAGGTAAGTCAAATTAAAATTTCTTATATTATGTATTTTTAATAGCAGTTGTGTGGGAAAGTCTCTATATTTTAGATTCTCCAATTTTTATCTCTAAAGAGAAAGCTTTATGATAATTTTATTTTAATTTAAAAAATCAAAGCAGTTCTTTTTCCTGGAGAATAGAAATCTGATCTGCTCGCTTTGGGGTTTTAAAGGTCTGCATCTTCATAAAGATAATATATAAGATAAAAGGAGTCTCTCCAAGCTAAATTTTTTGTATTTTAATGAAATAACTTTTTATTAAAAAGTGTTAACTTACTTTAACATCTTCCAAATATAGGCTAAAAGAGCAGAGTTAGAAGAAGCAGAATGAATCCCTGGCTATAAAAGCTATTCTAAGTATGTATGTAGAGCTAAGAAGACACAAGGAAAGAAGAGACACCACAAAGCCACAAAAACATAAAATCATCATAAACCATGTTTCAATATTTTTAAATCATAGAGGGGTTTTGGGGTTTTGGGGTTTTGGGGTTTTGGGG